CTCGGTGATCATTACAAAATCAAATTCAATACATAAATAAATAATAAGTACCACATTTCATTTTTCATCTGTTGGGCTGTGATTTCAATTTCATCATTGGAACAATGATGAAACAATGGGCTAAGGTCCAAGAATGATTTTAAATACTAAGAAATAGCCCAATAACGTGACCTGATCCATAAACCAGAGCCCAAGGCATTAAAAGCGTGTTTTGAGGCGTGGCACTTTTATTCAAGCAATTGCCTAGTAATGTGACCTGAGCCTTAAACCCGAGCCTAAGGCATTAAACACATATTTTGAGGCGTGGCACTTTTATTCAAGCAATTGCCCAGTAATGTGACCTAAGCCATAAACCCAAGCCTAAGACATTACTAATGCAAGGGGTAAGATTTCTAAGGAGTATAAGATAGTTATACTCCTAAATGTCGTACCAAAGGCATATAGAGATGTCAAGACTGCCATTAAGTATGGCAAGGATACCTTGACTCACGATGTTAAAATTTCTTTAAGAAATGAATAACTGGATCTTAGATCCAAAAAACATGGGCAGGAATTTGAAAGCTTGTTTCTAAGAGGTAGACAATTGAATAGGCAGTTTAATAATCAATCCAATTAGAATCATTTGGGAAATAACAATAAGAAAAAGTTTAGAAGTACGCCAACATCAAAATCTAATTTAAGACATAGAAAGTGCTATGGGTGTGAGAAGACAGAATATTATATAAAAGTTTGTCACAACAAGAGGACTGAACATAAGGATAAAAATGTAGATGATGGAAATGTGCTGATCCAAATATAGTTGATGTGTATGGTCACTAACTAGCCTTATTTGAAATCAGCAAATTATGTTGATAACAGACGGCAAGTCCAAGAACGGATCTTGGTCTCAAGCTGCACTTTTCATGTTACATATGAAAGAGCTTCAAAAGCTTAAAAAGATATAATGGTAGAGAAGTAGTGATGGAGAATGGCATCGCTTGTAAAGTTGAGGGATTAGGAGATGTGACTCTAAAATTTGAAAATGGTAACATTTATATCCTTGAAGGATAGGTATGCATCAAAACTAAATAGAAACAAGATCTTTATGGGAGAATTAGATGATAAAGTATTATTTGGTAGGAATGGTGATGGGATGATGAAATTGATAAAGGGATCACTTATCATCTTCAAAGGAGTCAAGAAAAATGGCATTTATATGGCCAAAGCAGAAATAGTGTTTGAAAATGCTGTTGAAGTCTCCAGTGTTGAACCTGATTCCTCCTTAAATTGGCATAAGATACTAGCTCATGTAAGTCAAAGGGTCTTACTATTTACACAAAAGATGAGTTTTGAAAAGGATATAATTTCAAAAACACCTTTTTGTGAAAATTGCACTCTTGGAAAACAACATAGATTTCATTTCAATTATTAAAAACAAAAACCTACTTTTTCCTCTTGAATATGTTCATTTTGGTTTGCAGGCCCTACAATAGAGTCAATCGGAAGACTGCAATGGTGTTTGAAAATCCATTAGCATCAAGGTGGAAATTGTTGGGTTGTGATGCCAATTTCTTCCTTAGGGGCAATGATTAAACAGCAAGCTAAGGCCCAAAACGATTTTAAATATTAGGCAATTGTCTAGTAACATGATCTAACCCATAAACCCAAGCCCAAGGCATCAAAAGTGCATTTTAATGCGTGACACTTTTAGTTGCAGCCTAAAATACGATTTCTTCATCAACTAAGGAGCCACCTGGATTGTTGGATGATATTGTGATATGTGGTTGATAATAAGGTTATAAATAGTTTTTTTTGGGTGACCTATTTTGATTCATATCACTTTCGCCATTTTGTAGGTACTATTTTTGATACTTTTCTTCTTCTTCTTCTTCTCTTCAATGTGTTTTTCCAATCTCTGATTGTAAGTGTTTGTTTTCGTTCTCTTTGTGAGATTTGATACTTAATGTATTGTAAGAGACGTGGTATGAGTCGTTTAGCCTTGTGACTTCCTTTAATTGATAAAGAAGTGCTTTAGATTTACAAGTTAGGTTTCTTGGTCACACAGACGGCTACAATTTTATTTTCTTTGGGTTTGAGCCCCAATGTAGTGAGAGATCTTCATCTTCAATGCCTTGGATTTGTATATCTTGGAAGGGATGAATGATATCTCATATCATTTGGTTTTACGAAATCGATCTTATAGTTTTATGTGTTTTAGTTCGATAGTTTGCATAATATCATCAAAAGACAACACAAAATTCATAATAGACAACAATTAATTTCACACGAAATTCTAAATCAACAAGAGAAGGCCATTACGTACTTGGAATCGAGATTGAGGTCTAAACTTGAAATTTACAATAATTTCTTTTGATCAAGCAACATACATATCTCCACAATCACTTGTCAAGTTGAAACCGAGAAATTCTTTACTAATAAATAAACCTCAAAGCAGAAATTTACAGTTGTACATTATATTTCTTTTTCTTCTTTAGCATGGCCTCAATCCTCACCAAACAGTTTCTTATATAGGCATCTGGGTTAGGTTCACTAGTCTGCTTTAAAATATAGAAAGGGGATTTTCAATTCATAGTCCACAGCAAGAACAAATAATGGTACTTGGATACTAAATGCACACAAAATAAAAACTAAAAAAATTCTTGAAAGAGAAAATTAAAGGAACAACAAACAAAATGAGACAAATTGAACCCACACTTCAATTAATGCTACAACCTCTTTTGGGTTATCCATTGCGATGTGTCTGCCTTGAGCAAAAGAAATAGCAATTGGGATTCGGGAGAAGAGAGTAAAACAAAGAAAGGAAGTCGTATGCTATCGTGTTTCAACTGGCAAATAAAGTAATGTTTAGGGTTAGGTTAGGGCAATGCAACTACAAATTTAAATTTAAAACAAAAAATTAAAAGATCTTACATGGTCCCATGTAGAGGATTATTATTGGTGCTCCCATTTACTAAAAATTGACCCCATCACCTATTCGTATTTGGAAAATACTTCCCATACGTGATTTTGACACCCTACAAATAGGGATTTGAATTTTCTGATGTGGCTTGACAAAATGGCGGGAGCACTTAAAACACATGTGAGGGGCAGTGTGAGTCGAAGCAAAGGAAATCAGTGAAACTAAAAATGAAAAACCTAACCACTGTTGCAAATTTCGAACAAGAGCCTCCTCAAATTAGAACCGGTTTCGACCATAATTTTCCCGGAAAGGTGGCACTCAAGCGATGAACCTCGAAGGCAATAGTTGAACTTGTTTATGTCCGTCACATTTCTGAAGATTTGAAAATGATGAACACTTTGATCTAATTGAAAAAGCATAAATCCACATTTTTGAAGACGGTTGTTGAGTCGCCTAGCAATATTGAACTGTGCTTTCCAATCTCCATCCTTAGTTTAACAAGTTCCTCTCTTCGGGTAAAATCAATTTGTAATGGGTAAATTCCTTAAAGCTATTTAGAGGGTTTATGGTGACTAAGATAATGATATATTCTGGTTACATGTTTGAAATTTGTTTCATTCGATGCATGTTCGTAATGGACCTAGGTTATACTATTTGGAGGATTTAATTACAATGTAAATTAAGCTCTTATGGTATAACTTCAGGGAGCAGCAAGATTAACTAGTAGACGAACCTTCATAAACATGAATTGTTGATTATTTGTAGTTTTTTGTCTGCTTATCTAACATTGACTACGGATTCCTAAATGTGAGTGTTATATTCTTTTGAAGCTGGATAAACTATGGACAAAATGCAAATGGAGCATGATGATGTGTTGGTAGAATCCGATGATGAGAATGTTACGAACTCTGTTAATGTCGTGGAAGGTGTAACCTCAGTGGGAGATGGTGTGGTTGTGCCAGAGGTAGGTATGGAGTTTAAGGAGCTTAAAGATATGGTCGTACAAAAAATAAGTCTATACTGTTTGATTTCCAATTAAGAAAAGGAATTCGAAAAAGGGAGGTGATGGAGAGTTGAGATATGTGACCTTGGCATGTAGCCATGAAGGTTGAAGAATCGATAATTCTTTCGGTTCCTTGAAGCGGCAACCGACAATACAAATGGGGTGCAAATCTAGGATCTGTGGATCGTCAAATATTCATGGTGTATGGTGAATTAACAAGGTCCAACTCGACCACAATCATGAAACTAGTCCATCGAAATTTAGGTTATATCAATGTAACTGAAAATTGAGTTCACATGTAAAATGCAAGCTTGCAGTCAATGATTTGTCAGGAATTTTGTTGTATAATGACAAGCTAGTATCGGATGAAATATGACATGAAGAAAAACTAAACTTCACTACATATGCTACTACAGCAAAGCAATATCGAAATGGCGTGAGGCAAAGGAAAGTGCAATCTGATTTTGCTGCCGGCCAATGATGGTAAATCGAGATCTAGTGGAACTTGGATATTGAGAGACGACGACCTATGTTCCAAGCGTTGCCAAAAATGGAGATGCGGGAAACGGCCAAACCCCCAATGGAATTGCTGTTGTAGAGTCGACTGTAACGTCATCTGAAGTACTACTGGAGACGGTAAGGCTTGGGTACCTTTTCGTATTTTTTGGGGCACGAAAAATTAGGAGAAAAGCCACTGATTTGGGAGATTTTATTTAGGTTTCAATTTTATTTTATTTTATTTTTGTATTGCCACATCAGTCGGGATTTGAAATTTGTTAAGTATCCTTATTTTTATAGCACGATCATTCATACTTTTGGCTTTTCAAAAATAAAATCTTTGTTGGATCTATATCTTAGTTACAATGGTACGGAAGTAGATTTTTTTTTTTTACTATATGAATCTTGGTCTACTTTGTCAGCATAGTGTCTCAGCTACTCTTTCTCCATAAATTCTACTTTCTACTCACAACCTCTCTTTTCATTCAAGTTCTTTATATTGAACACTTAAAACTGTCCTTCACATGCATGTCTTGTTAATGGCAAAGTGACAAGTAATTACTAGAGAAAATTGCACCCTATGTTACTTTTTGGGTTGGCATTTTAAAAAATGTCATATTTTACTTTTGAACTTTCTTGTCCTTCTAGAAAATTTGAATACCTTGGGTGTCCTTAATTAAAGTTGATTTTATTAGATGAAAAAATTGTACAAAAAGTACATAATAATGATAATAATAACACCAAACCCACCCCATCCTCACACTCTAACCTTACTCTTCTCCCCTCCATTTGCAAATGCAAGAAAATCAAAATTTAAATCTTCAAAGATCCCATTTGCAAAAGCAAGAAAATCAAAACTCAAATCTTGAAAACTCCAACCTCCTTAGCCGCTCCACGCCTGACTTTTCTTTTTCATCCGACCGACATAGCATCTGGAACAAGTGAAGTGACTGTTGAAATCTCTATTTTTTTCTCACATTTTCAATCTTCATCTATCGATTTCTAATTTGTAGCATATGGAATTGTGACACCAAGCTATTGCCATATCCTGAATTTGACCATTGTCTTCTTCTTTTCTCTGTGTCTCTTTTTGTTTTCTATTTTTATTAATCGTTCATATTGAAGAGGAGATAGATGAAAAGGAAGTATCCGGCAAGTATGCTTTTATTGATTATTTGAGTTTGTGTTTCTGTTGTTAGACTGTTAGTTAAATTGATATTGTTTCGACTTTTAATTTCATAAATTAGTCATATAAGTTGGTTTTTAAGTATTATATATAGTGTTCAATTATTTATCTTTTTTTCTTCCATTAATTGGGTTCTTTTTGAAAGCTATTGTTCCCTTAAACATCTGATCCATGTTAGCATGTGGAGAGTATATTTGAAGTTCATATGGAAGTCTTCTATCTAGGAAATCTATCATTCTCGACAAATAGTTTCTAAAATTCTTGACAGTTTCACTAGTTTCTCGAAAGTTATAATGCAATGCCAAACTTGTTTCAAATGCTTCACTAGGTGTCGTACGAATTAAATGCATGTTATATCATTATCTAACCATTGGAATTTGTTCATGTTAATAGTTTCGCATATGGATTTCGAGTTTGTTTTGTCTAAAGGCGAATGTATACATGGATGATGTACGATGTATTTTCCTAATGAAAGGGCTGCACCGGTTCCCTCAATTGCCACTGATGCAGTTGAAAATGAAAAAGTGGTGGTGACGAAAAAATGACGCTCGATGCACATTGGAACATTATCAATGTTAAATCGGACTATGCACACTAGGAGTGGTAGGAAGAGAGGAAATAACATAAAATAATATGTTTTTTTGATTGGGAAAAAATGTGTACCATTTTTTTGAACTTGGAATTTGTCATGTTTTGAAATTTTTTACATTTATGTTTGTTTTCATATTTATTTGAAAAATTATTTAGGTCTATTGTCATGTATGTTTAGTTTATGTTATTTTACTCAAATATAGTGTTATTGTGAACGATGTTGATTGAGCATATATTTGATACTTTCAAGTAGAGATTGATGGACAGTAGTATGATTATGATATGATTTGTATTTGTATAGATTTGTTAATGTTCTGGACATGTGGAATTCTATGTGTGTTTACTACTATGGTTGTAAAAGCTGTGCCTCCCATTAGATACAATTTTGAGACAGTCCTCCAGGTTTGAGACACTGTTGAGTTCAAACAGATACAATTTTTTCCACTCAATAAATTATTTCTGGGTATATGGGTTTGGGATCATTAGCTCGGACGATTCACACAAATATAGTAGGGACAAACATTAAAATGTCGACGACAATTGAAGGGGGACCTCAATGCCAACAATTATCAGTCATATTTATGTTTTCTAATTTTAGCCAGGGATTCACGTGTAACATATGTACATAATGTTTTGTACATCATATTATCCATTATGTCCAAATATTTAGTCTAATTTACTACAATGTAGTGAACTTTTGAGAATTACTGTGATAATTTGTCAAGACTAGCAGTTGAACTATCGGCAGCTAATGAAATATTGTATATAGTTAACTGCTATTCTTGTAATGTTATTTCTAACAACTAATACCAAAAAATGATAATGAAACAAAACTGGTAATATAGCCCCTGTTTGATTCCCATTAAATTACATTCTATTTTTCTCTCTCTTATTTTCAACCACACAATTTTCTATAAAATAATATTACGCGTAAATCAAAAAATTTTCCTTCTTTTTTAACCACTCATTTTTTCAACAAAACACTATTCTCCCAATTTTCATTACCAAAAATGGGAGCCAAACGGGGGCATAATATAAAATGTATATCGCCATTATTCTGTGATACAAAATACAACTTCAACCTTTGAACGTCGTTCCTATTTATGTGCTTTGTATTCAAATATTTGAATCCAAAAAATAGCGAACAGGTGAAAATGACAGTTGAAATGTGTATCCCGACATTTTGAAAATGTTGAATTCAATAGTTTGTTTCGACAGTTTAACAGTCGAAGCTAACGGGAAACATTTAATGGGTTTGATTGAAAGACATTCTTCATAACATTAAGTGTTGATATCTTTATTCAAGAAGATTTCAAGAACCAAATTGAATTAATGAATAATAATTTGGAAAATTTCAAATACGTATGGCCATCTTGTGTTTAAAAATTCAAAAAATAGTAAGTTATAAGGTAAAAACATAAACAATTTGTAAATGTTGACCTCTCAAAATGGAAGATGAATCCACTAATAATTTCTTCTTGTTGTTGGAATGGAGAACATGTGAAGAAAATTAGGATTTTTTTATTTTATTTATTGTTATTATTACTTTTTTTTTATAAAAATGGTTTACACATTCATACAAAAAAAAAATAATAAAATAATAAATTCTTTCTTTCTTTCTTTCTTTCTTTCTTTCTTTTTTTTTTTTTTTTTTTTTTTTAAACTTAAAATTTAATTTTCCCCAAATTTTTTTTTTTTTTAAACTTAACAATTCATATTTCCCAATATATTATACATATGTTCAATGGTTTCTGATACACAACTCAAAACATCACACCTTGACCATTAATGAGCATTAAATGCAAGCATTAAAGATTTAGATATTTCACACCTAAAAAGTGACATTTTTTGATACCATTTGTAAAAGTGACATTTTTTAATACCATTTGGTTCTTCTTATAAAAATGTCCCCAGTTATCATTGTGATATTTTATAAACATTTAAAAAAACATTTCAAGAAAGGGTAATTGGCACAAAACGTCCCTACCTTTCAAGTGTATTGTGGAAAACATCCCAACCTTTTATTTTTTGGCACAAAACGTCTCTACCTTCCACTTTCTTGGCATTGAACGTCATTTTCATCAATTTTTGACGATTTTACCCTCCATTCAAATAAAACAAAAAGAAAAGAAAGGGAAAAAACAAAAAACTAATTGCAACCATATTCCCAAAATTTCTAAAAATTGCAAATGGTAACTTGATAATTACCATATTAAATAAATTGAAAAAAAAATCACAAAATTAAGAAAAAAATTAAAAAAAATGGGTTGTCTTCTTCACCCCACCCTATTATTCATCTTCTTCTTCCCCCACCCCACCACACCATACAAAATCTCTTTGCACAGCAAATCCTCCAAATTAGAACTATTAAAAGATAAAATGAAATAAAAATGGTAACAAAGTGGAAACATTGAGAATTGTTCTAAAGTAAGGTAGGAACAATTTTAAAATCGAACATTGTAGTCTGTGAAAAAGTTATGTTATGTTTTGTTTTGTTTTTTGTTTTTTTTTTTTTTTTTTCCTCCTCTAGTTTTGATTTCATTTTATTTTAAAATCACAAATGTAAAGTCAATTTTAATATGCATGAATTGTAACTTATAATATATTTGCACTATAATTAATAAATTAGAATAAAGTATCAGTTACAATCACTATATAAACTAGATTAAAATGCATAAGCTAATATAACTTTAGTGGAGGAACGAAAAAATCTGAGAATTAAACGTCTTCCGAAGCAAATACGATTTTAAGGCTAATATGATTTAAGTGGAGAGGAACAAACTATTAAGGCGTATACAGTGAATTCAAGGTTTTGAAAGTTACAAGAAAAGGCGAAGAATGAAAGGGAGAGTTGGGGGGGACCAAACAAAGCATTTTTTGCACCATATACATGTGCACTCAGTCAGTCAGTCAGGCTGGCTTATTCTGATCTCTTCGATGGTCCTAAGCCTACCAGTCTGCCTAAGGTATTGTGGGCGCCACATAAATGTTTCAGTTTGCATTTTTTTTTTTTTTTTTAAAACTATATAGGCGTATTTTGAAGTGGAGAGTAAGAATCAAAACGTTGATGGTATTTTTTACACATAAGGCATAATGACAAGAACATGATGAGTGCATACAAAGTTTAATATAGGAATTTTCATCTTATTCAGATCTCAATCAATTAGATTTTGGAAATATTAGGATAGACCATGGACTTTGTTTAGTAATGGAGTCCCGTTGCTTATTAATGGCAATATACAGGCAGACGAGTGGAAGGCGGCAAATATTTGATGAATCGAACGACGCTGCCTTTTTTCACTGTCTTGGATTATGCTAAATGATTGAGCAATGTTGTAAACTGTAGTGTCATTGGTTTGTATATTCTTGAAATTGATACAATTTAATATTAAAGAAACAATTTCAAAGATGTCTTTAGAATGATTTTCATGCATGTATTTATTGTTGACATGAACATTAAAAGTAGAAAATAAAAATAAATATTGCTATCTTGCATTGTATCCCAAACTGCAATTGTCAAAATAAATTCATTTACTTAGTTATCAATCTCGAAACTTCACAAGGTTTTAAGGGAAGGTAGTAAATTTCTTTTATTATGACATATCCAAAAATCTGCGCCCGTTGAGATGTTAAAATATTTTTCAAACCCTGATAAAAATAACTAAAACAAAGCCGTTTTCCCCTTTTTTCCTCATATGGCAAGTACCAAAATAAATTCGTTTGCATAGTTATTGACTCCGAAAGTTTATAAAATTTTAATGTAAAGTAGGAAACTCCTTATGATAAGATATATAAAAAAAATTGACTTCTGTCAACAATATATGTATTGTTATAATATTTTTTAAAAACCTCACCATGACTCGGTTGGAAAGTAAACCAGTGCAATTGACTTTAAATTACATATAAAATTCCACAGATATCAAAACAATATGATTTTAACTTTATACAGTAGCTAGCCCATGAGATTATCAAATCCCATTGGTTTCATCCAAAAATTCTAAGTAATGATTGAGTCATGAATTTTCGAAACCAATGGCAGAAACTAAAAATAGAAACACTATCCAAGGCGGTTTACTTTAAGTGACATAAAATTCTACTGACATCGGATTGATATGATTCTAAGTTTATTCAGGAGCTAATATATGAGGCTATCAAACGCCATTAATCTTGTCTAAAAATTCCAAGTAACGATTGAGTTACGAATTTTTAAAATCAAGGCGGAAGCTGCAATTTAAAAGAAAACAACAACATTAAATCGCTAACACTTTTTTTGTAAGTTAATTTCCAAAACATATATCTACTTTTAAAAATAACTTATTCATAACAAAAGTGTTCGTAGAATATAGTTCCACATACGACGTCCATAGAAATCTATTCAAAAGAAAACGTAAACATTTCATAACTGAATTAGAAATATTAAATCACCGACTTTTCCATGGCATGTTGCATTTCCATCTACCATCATCCACGCCCCAAGCAAGTCAGATCAACCTGTATGAAGGGAATTAACCCATGAGTTTGAAACTCATAGATATCATCGATACATTTTGTTATCAAATTAAATAATTCAATCTATAGATTCATACCTAACAAGTAAATGAATTTTTGGCAAAATTCGATTTCTATAGTATTATCATAACACAAAGAGTCGAAGAATGATCATTCAAACTATAATAGTGTCAAAGCACCGAACCCGGAGGTACCATTTCATTTAAACTTTTAATGAAAAATCAATTGGAAAATGAAATAACACTTGCTCCTCTACCTACCTTGAATTTTTTTTGACATAAAAGAACAAAATATGTAAAAAGTCTTTCTTCTTCTCACTTTTGTTATTCCCTTAAGCTTAACTTGATATCTTGTAACCTTCAATTCTAATGAAAAACTAAATGGTAGAGTTCTATTAGCGATAAATTTGTTAAATTTGATCTTTAACTAAGAATTTAAAGAGTTTTTAAGCCATAAAAAAAGTTTCATATAAAAAGTTTTATAAAAACATTTACATAATAAAAATAAAGGAAAATGAACTATCCATATGTTTTGTAACCTATCTTTATCAATGCCCAATAATAAAAAATTATTTCATCCAATTAACTTGATATAATTGTTCTTAATGTACAAAATTAGGATTTTTTAACTAAAAAATAATTTTGTAGAATACTTTATAAAATATCTATATGGTGATTCGAACTTGAGTTCCTATATGAAATACCATGTA